GCGTGTAACTGAGAATGTGTGTGGGCACTCTGTGCATACCACAAGGCATACGTAGAGGTCAGAGGAAACTTGTAGGAGTCAGCTGTCTCCTTCTACCATGTGGAACCCGAGGACCAGGCCATTAGGCTTAGCAGTAAATACCTTTACCACCTGAGACATCCCACTGGCCCAATTTGTTCTTATTTTTATTTCAGTTCTTTCCAAAAATATTTTATTATTTTTATTTTATATGTATGAGCGTATTCCCTGCATGTGTGTAAGTGCACCCATGTTGTGCAATGCCTAAGGAGGCTTTCAGAGGTCAAAAGAGGGCACTGGATGTTGGATCTCTGGAACCGGAGTTAAGGCCGGTTGTCAGCCACCATGTGGGTGCTGGTAACCGAACCTGGGTTTCCTGCAAGAGCAGGCAGTGCTCTCAACTGCTGAGCCATCTCTCCAGCCCTATTTTAGTTCTTTTGTATGTGGTATATGTATCTTTTTTTTCTCCTCCTGAGTGCTTTTCTCTTAGTTACTGGTTTAGAACAATTTGACATTTGTAGGTCTTGGTGCCATTGTCTTTGTGTTATGCTTGGAGTTCCCTGAGCTCCTTGGATCTCAGTTTCCAGTTTTCATCACACTGGAAGAAGTGGCATCTACTACTTGTTTCTGTCCCCCTCTTTGGAATTCCTGGTACATGTACATTACGCCCCAGCTTCTTAAACGGTAGGTTACAAATCTATATAGGGTTACTTACATGAGTGTGGGGTCCCAAAAGGTTTGGAAACAGTGCTTTGAATGTACAACAACCAAAAATTAACTACAAAAATCAGTTATGTAATGAATCCAGGGTGTTCTTGGCAGTACTCACACAGATGCATCAGTTTCTCTTTTTAATTTCCTCCTTAGTATGTAAATATCAAATTAGTATATCTTTGTATTGTACTGTTTTTGTTTTTTTGTCTTTTTGAGACAGGGTTTCCCTGTAGCCCCAGCTGTCCTTGAACTCACAGAGACCCAACTGCCTCTGCCTCCTGAGTGCTGGGACTAAAGGCATGTGCCACCACGCCCAGCTTCTTTTTGTTTTTAATTGTTGTCTTGTTTGGAGGGGGATTCTTTTCATTCTAAATAATAATTATTTTTAAATTTTTAATTAATTAATCAATTTTTGCTTTTTTTGAGACACAGCCCTGACTGGCCTGGAACTCATAAAGCAGACCAGGCTGGCCATGAACTCACAGAGATCCATCCCCTGCCTCTGCCTCCTCAGTTCTAGGATTAAAGGCATGTGCCACCATGCCTAGCTAGATTTTATTCTTTTATAATGTTTTATTTTAAAAATTGCTACTTAAGTTGCTAACTTGAGTTTCATAAAAGAAAACATATCATTAGATGAATTTTGACTTGGAATTAGGACAGAATTTCCAATAACTTCTAAAATGGCTCTAGACATATATTTGTCATTTACAATTAACATTTTCATGAGGCAATATTCCCATTTCACCACAAAACATCCAAACATTGGTCCAGTCTGGAAAGAAAACAATGAAGATGCTTTACATCCATAGCATCAGACACTCAGTCAAGATCTTTTTCTCTCTTTTTTTTTTTTTTTTTTTTTTTTTTTTTTTGCACATATGTCATAACAAAGTAATGCCCAGCTAAGTGCTAAAGGGAAAGGCAAAGTATGCTGGCTGGCTGGCTATAGGAAGTGACACCGTACACTGACAATCACACCATACAACAGCGCCATACCATGCCCAGCCAGATCTTTTTATGGAAAAGGAAGCCAGTACATCCATCTCTTTTATACATACACATTAAATTTTTTTTGCTTTTTTTTTTTTAATGTGTATGTGTGTATTGTGTGCATGTACGCAAGTGCAATGCCCACAGAGGACAGAAGAGGGCATTGGATCCCCAAGAACTGAAGTTACAGATGGTTGTTAGATACCATACTGGGGCTGGGATTCGAACCCAGGTCAGCTGTAAGACCACACAGTACTCTTAACTGCTGAGCCACTGTAATGGCCCCAAATGGAATCTCCAAATTATAGGAGCCAAAGTAACTTCATTTTCTTCATTTTGTATAAAGCAGCCACTTTAAACTTCAAAAGCTAGAAAATCGGCCAGCTTCAAGGTCAGGTCTGAACTTAGTTGCTTCCCCTTAGAAGAGTGCCTTCTTTGGAGTAGCTGACCTTGGTCACCTCCCAGACACTGCAGCTGTGCTTCCTGCCTAACCAAGAAGCCTAAATAACAATAGCGATCATAAAGTGCCTTACTGTCAAGGTCTTTATATATCTGTTAAAAGAGGGACTAACAAAAGCTTGTTTTGGCTTCTGTAGTTTGCTTACCTGCTAACTTAGGCCATCCTGACCCTACTCAGGACTACCTGGCATTACCCATGCGTGATGAAATTCTTGTGGTATTTGTGGCTTTTGCCTTTATAAGCTAGTTCCACCCTCCTCCTCCCCTTGGGCAGTGAATCCTGAATCTAAGGGACCATGGATGGCTATAGCCCTAATAAATTTGACCAATTAAAATCTGAATTGGATCTGGTGGTCTTTTCCCAGTGGTTTCAAAACACCATCTCTCCAGTCCACATATTAAATATTTTAAGATTTAAGTGTATAAGTGTCTGCCTGCATGTATGTAAGGGCAACTATGTGATGCAATGCCTGCAGAGGCCAGAGGGGGGCATTAGATTCTCTGGAACTGGAGTTACAGGACTGCTGTTGGTGGCCATGTGGGTGCTGGGAACCAAACCTGGGTTCTAGTACTCAGCCAGTACTCTTAACTGCTGAGTCATCTCTGTAGCCCTAAAATAAATTTTATATGACCTTTTTAAAAAAATATTTTATGTATTATTTTTATTTTATGTGTATGAGTGTGTTGCCTGCATGTAGGTTAAGTGCACCCATGTCGTGCAATGCCACAGAGGTCAGAAGAGACCATCAGGTCCCCTGGTACTGGAGTTATGGACAGTTGTTAGCTGCCATATGGGTGCTGGGATTCAAACCTAGGTCTTCTACAAGAACAACCAGTGTTCTTAACCGCTGAGCTATCTCCCAGCCCCTCCTTATGACTTATTTTTAAAAAGACAATTAATGTTGGGCATGGTAGCGCATGCCTTTAATCCCAGCACTTGGGAGGCAGAGGCAGGTGAATCTTTGTGAGTTCGAGGCCAGCCTGGTCTACATAGTGAGTTGCAGGACAGCTACAGCTGGGGCTACAGGGAGACCCTGTCTCAAAAAGACAAAAAAAAAAAAAAAAAAAAAAAAAAAGACAATTAACTAAAGTCTAGGAAACTATGGGGATAATTTTTTCCATGACAGTCTTTTTTAAAGGAAAAACAATTTTTTCTTTTTTTCTTTTTTTTGGGGGTGGGGGGAGAGGAGGGTTCTTTTCTTGAGACAGAGTCTCCCAATAGCCCAAGCTGGCCTGGAACTCAGAGATCTGCCTGCCAGCTGGGATTAAAGATGTGTGCCACCACATCCCACTTTGAGACAGAGGCTACAAAACTTGCTATGTAGACCAGGCTGGCCTCAATCTTACAGAGATCCACCTGCTTCTGCCTCCTGAGTGCTAGGATTAAAAAAATAATTTTTTGAGTACCCCAATGGAAAATAACTTTCTTCTCTAATCTGAGCTATGATCCATTTTAAAAACAGTATAGAAATGAAGTCTCAGGCAAGCTGCACTAGATTCTAAATTTTATTATTATTATTATTATTTTGTCTATTTTTTGAGACAGGGTCTCCGTGTACTCCCAGCCATCCTGGAACTCACTAGGTAAGACTAGGCTGGCCTCCAACTCACAGAGATCTGCCTGCCTCTCCCTCACAAGTGCTGGGGACTAAAGGTGCGCGTCACCACATCTGGTGTAATAATAATTATTATTATTATTTACACATATGCACACATATACCACAGCACATGTGTGGAGATTAGGGGACAACTTTCAGGAGTCAGTTCTCCTCTTCAACTGTGGGTTCCAGGGATTAAACTCAGGTTTCAAGAATGTGGGGCAAGCACTCTTGCCTGCTGAGCCACCTTGCCAAATTCTAATTCTCTAACCTTTATATCACAGAAATGAATGTGTCAAACAATTATTCTATGCCTTGAATGTTCTTTCTTTGTGTGTGTGTGTGTATTTTTATTTTGTTACAAGGAATATAATCCAATCACTAACTTAAATATTATAGTATACTTATCACAACACTGAATTTCTTTTAACAGACATAGGAGATGCCACAAAAATACCCAACTGTTCCAGTGGCCCAGTGAAAGAGGAAAGAGGTGATCTTATCAAATTTTACAATATAATATATGCAGGAAGAGTGAAGTCATTTGCATTGAAATATGATTTGTTCAATCAGTACCACATGGTAACTCTTAAGTTTTTTTCCTTTTTTCAAAAAAATTTTAATTGAATTTTTGTGTATTTCATACAGAAAATCATCTTTATGCCCCCTTCCCCTCTGGCACCTTCCATAGCCCTACTACTGGAGTTCATACATCCTGTCATTTGTGTTAAGGCCTATCATGTAAAGTTAGTGTCCCCAGAAGTCCCTCTCAGTGCAAGTTCATCCACTGGGATTTAGTCAGCCTATCAAGAGTCCCTCCCTTTAAGAAGATCAGCTCTTCCTCAACCAGCAGTAGTCAGCTGCCAATAATTCTTCGACTAAGATTGGGGCTGTTCATTTGCACAGTTCTGTGCTGGGTTTTTGTCTGCTTAAGTCTGCGTGGGTCTTGTGCATGCTGACATCACTGCTGTAGGTTTGTACGAGAAGGGTCCAGGTGCCTGTAGGACGATTTCCATATGGCCATGCACCTCCTCCCTGGCCCTCAAATGTTCTTTCACTAGCCACATCTCCTTAAAATCTTTTCAAGAATATGTAGTATCAGGTTTTTTAAATATCTGAATTTTGCCGGGTGTGGTGGTGCATACCTTTAATCCCAGCACTTGGGAGGCAGAAGCAGGCAGATCTCTGTGAGTTCGAGGCCAGCCTGGTCTACATAGTGAGTTCCAGGCCAGCTGGAGCTACAGGGAGACCCCGTCTCAAAAAGAAAAAAAAAAAAAAGAATTTTTTTTAAACAATGTTAGGAATCAAACCCACGCTAGGCAAGCTCTCGAGCATGGAGCATCCTCACCATCAACAGGCATGTGCCCAACCATCCTGTGGTGGACCCACAGCCCTTAACCATGTTTTTAGAATGCCTACTGGCTCTGAAATATTCATGTGCTATGACTTACTATGTGCCAAGCTCTGCCAAATACTTCTGGGTATATAAGAAATGAACAGGATATTTGCCACAGGCTTAGTTCAGGGAACCAGACGGTCTTCCTGAGCACTTGCTTCAGAGATGCACACAGATGCACTAAGTGCCAGGGAAGCACAGCTGAGCACATCCAACTGAGAGTGGCTTCTCAGGGGAGGAGCAGGTATACACACACTGCACAGCAGGAGTCACTGCACACAGAGGACGATGACTGAGCAATGCAGAAGGGGACAAGAGGTCTGCTTTGTGGTATGGAGTCCAGGAAGAGGAGACAGGGCAAAGACCAGAAGAGCAGGCAGTGCTGAGGGGTCTTTTTTAGCAGTAATCATGTTCAAAATATGATTTTCACATCAGGAGATAGATACCCTGACACAAAGAGAGAATGGAAGCTAAACTTTACTCATACTTTGCCACCATAAGCAACTCAGACTTAAATGGAAATCACCTTTTGCTTTGAAAGCGTGTATGTAGGGGTAGTGGCCCTTAAATTTTAGTCTGGTCTTAGGTGAAGAGGCAGATTCATGCACTGAAACCACCCTGTAGTGGACCCCCACAAGATGTGAAACATAATGGCCACAGTTTGAGAAGTTAAAATAAAACAAAGAAACTGTAAGAGAAATGGGACCTTACCTTGGACATGTCCACCCAGATCAAAGGTTGTAAATGTCATGCCAGCGATAGTGAGTTCTTCTGATGCTAAATAAAAACACAACATTTTTTTTTTTTTTTAAAAGACAGGGTCTCCCTCTAGCCCCAACTGTCCTGGAACTATGTAGACCAGGCTGGCCTTGAACTCACAGAGATCCACCTGCCTCTGCCTCCCCAGTGCTGGGATTAAAGGCGTGCGCCACCACGCCCAGCAAAACACAACATTTTTATAGCATAAAAACCAGAACTATGCCAAGCATGGTGACTCATGCCTATAATCCCAGCACTTGGGGGGTGGAGGCGTAAGGATCAGGAGTTTAAGGCCATCCTTGGCTATGGAATGAGTCTGAAGCCAGCCTAGGATACATGAGACCTAGTTCACACCTTCCATTTCTCTCTTCATTGAGTACATGTTTTCCTTTAAATCCTTTGTCATAAGAGCTTTTTAAAATGCAAAAGAAAGCAAAGGAAGGAGAGAGGGAGGGCAGGCTGGTAAGATGGCTCAGCAGGTAAAGGTGTCTGGCTTGCCATTATGCCTAAGGACTTGAATTCAATCTCCAGAACTCACAAGGTAGAAGAGGAAAACTGACTCTGCAAGTTGTCTTCTGACCACACATGCTCTACAGCACACCACTCCTCCCAAATAAACAGAGAGAGAGAAAAAGAAATAAAGAGAAAGGCAGAAGAAACGATGAACTTCTAAAATTGAATTACATTTTATTTTTTGAGACTGGGCCTCCTATAACCCAGGCTGACCTTGAACTTGCTATGTAGCTGATTACAGGCATGAACCACCATGTCAGTTTCTGCAGACTATGCCCAGTTTCATACTTGCTAGGTAAGTATTCTACCAACTGAGCTAGACTCAGCATGTAGGAGTTGTCTGCACACCTTATCTGCTAATTTCATCATCTTCATCATTTCTGGGTCTGCTTCACCTGATTGAGCTTCTTCACATGTTTTATTAGTGTCGTATCAGATACTAAATTTTGTTGTATTCCTCTAACTTTTGTTCTAGTGGACAATTAAGTTGCTTACAGATTAGTTTTTATGATTTCTTAGAGTAGATCTAGAATGGCCTTTCATTTGGGGCTAGTTTAGCCCCTAATAGATATGAACTAAGGTGTGATATTTCTGGGTTCTCTACTAAATGCCCTGTTTCCAGTAGTTTCTCCAACTGGCTGGTGGGACTTTGAACTCTCTCAGCCCCACATGAGTTCTAGCAATCACACACAGACTGCAAATTCAGTCATGCAAATTTCTGGAATAATTTCTCTTAAGTTTTCCTCTTCAGTACTGTACCCAACAAATTCTAGTCAGTTTGGCCTTGGTCACTACTCATATTCTGGTCTCTGTCTCCTCAACTCAGGAAGACCACTGACAGGACTGTTGGCGTTTCCTCCTACACCAAAGTCTAAAAAATACCTCTTGGCATAAAGCTAGAATGCAAAAGAGTTTACTTTCCTTTTCTTAGGAATTATGGTCCTGTGCTAGCTACTGCACGTTTGATAACAACTATAGTATAAATACTAATGTCTAGTTAACTAGTTTATAGTGGGAGAGACTTCTAGACTGTTATCAACCCTCATGGACAAAGGCAGAAGTTTCCCACATTACAAGGGAAATTACAATTACGGAGCCAGTTAATTTTGTTAAGGAACTCTAAACTGGGTGGGGTAGCACACACTGTAATCTCCAGCAACTGGAAAGCTGAGGAAGACGAAAGATGGTGAGTCTGAGGCTAGCCTGGGCCACAGAGCAAGACCCTGTCTCAAAAACAAAAAGGGTCCAGCAAGATAGGTTAACAGGGGGCTGAAGAGATGGCTCAGTGGTTAGGAACACTTCTGGCTCGTCCAGGGGACCTCAGCACCCACATGGCAACTGAAAACTGTAACTAGTTCTAGGGAATCCAACTCCCTCTTCTGGCCTCCTTGAGCACTTCCCCCACCTGGTATACCTTCACACATGCAGGCAAAACACTCATACACATAAAAACAAAAAAATTTTTTTTTTCCTTTTTTTAACTTTTTTGTTGTTGGTCTTTTTGAGACAGGGTCTCCCTGTAGCCACAGCTGGCCTGGAACTCACTTCATAGTCCAGGCTGGCCTTGATCTCACAGAGATCCACCTGTCTCTGCCCCCCAAGTATTAGGTCTAAAGGTGTATGCCACCACATTCAGCAAGAAAAAATCTTAAAAGAACATATTTTTTAAGATGGCTTAGTAGCTAATGGCAACTGTAATCAAGCATGATGACTTGAGTTTGATTTCCAGGACCTACAGAAGAAGAGAAATGATTCTCTCAAGTTGTTTTCTGACCACATAAGTGACATGGTGCATGTCTCCATGTACACATACACACATAAATAATAAACAATTTTAAACCAAAAGAGACTAAAAATAAATAACTAAAAGCCAGACCTGTAATCCAGCAAATATTTATTACAATCTGTGTTCAAAGTCACTATTGATAAGGAAAGGATAATGCTTGGATATGGCTGGCTGTGCACTTGTATGGTTACATCTCCAATATACTCTCTGCTCTAGAAAAGAACTTCCAGGCCAGGTGTAGTGGTGCATGCCTTTAATCCCAGCACTCAGGAGGCAGAGTCAGGCAGATCTCTGTCAGAGCAAGGCCAGCCTGGTCTACATAGTGGGCTCCAGGCCAGCTGGGGTCAGGGAAGAACCTGTTTCAAACAAAAACAAAACAAAACAAAACAAAAAAACCCATCACCACCAATAACAACAAAAAAAACCCCAAACAAAACAAAAAGTATTTGGAGGCTAAAGAGTCATGGCTCAGCAATTAAGAGTGTTTACTTCTCTTCCAGAGGACCTGGATTCAGTTCCCAGCATCCACATGACAGCACACAAACACCCGTAACTCCAGTTCCAGGGGATCTGATGCCTTCCTCTGGACTCCCCACACTACACACATGTGGTGCACTTACATACATATAGGCAAAATACTCATGTACATAAATATAAGTAAAGAGGGGCTGGAGAGATGGCTCAGAGGTTAAGAGCACTGACTACTCTTGCAGAGGACCCAGGTTCGATTCCCAGCACCCACATGGCAGCTACAAATCATCCTTAACTCCAGTTCCAGGGGAATCCGAAGCCCTCTTCTGATCTCCTCCGCATTGCATGACATGGCTGTACTCACTTACATGCAGGCAACACACTCATACACATAAAATTTAAAAAAAAATTTTAAATATAAATAAAATGACCTTAACTGTCCTTTTTTTTTTTATTTTATTTTATGTGTAAGCATGTATTGCCTGCATGTAGGTAAGTGCATCTGTGTCGTGCAATGCCTGTGGAGGTCAGAAGAGGCTGTTGGATCCCCTGGGACTGGAGTTATGGACAGTTGTTAGCTGCCATGTGGGTGCTGGGATTTGAACCCAGGTCTTCTGCAAGAACAACTGCAAGAACAACTCTTAACTGCTGAGCCATCTCTCCAGCCCCTTAACTTTTAAAAACAGTTCCAACTTAAGGAATGGAAAGAGTACTGTCAACATCAGAACTCCCTTCCCTGTCAGTGCCCAATCCCACCCATCACCAGAAGCAACCACTGAGCTCAGTTCTACTACCACAGGTTATTTTGGCCAGTTCTAAATTTTCCTCTAAATGGTATCATGTAGCAGGTAACTTCTTGTGTCCAGCTTCTTTCGTGTAATGTAATATGACTGGTTTATTTATTTGTTTACTCATTTATTTTGAGAAAAGTTCTTATTTATATCCCTGGCTGGTCTGGAATTTGCTCTGTGGACCAGACTAGCCCCAAACTCATGATCTTCCTGCCTTCCCCCAACCAAGTGCTGGGAGGCACACACCATCACACCTAGATTTCATTCCTCTTTCTTTTGACCATAATCACACTGTTTTGCTTTCCTTTTCTTTCACAAGCATCTGAGGTATGCCCGGTTTTTGGCTACTACAAATAAACCCAGTATAAAAATTCCTGTGCAAAGCTTTTGGTAAATATACATTCTCTTTACCAGGATAAACACCTGGTCCAACTGTCAGGTCAGAGGGTACAGGGTGCTGCCTTTTCCACACCACACGTACTTTAAACTGAAAACTTGAAGTAAGAAGACATGAGATGCAGCAAAGCTGATAGCACCTGCTCTGTGCCACTGTGGCAGCCTGTGTCTAGAACAATGTCTGACACAAGCAGGTGCTCAGGAAACATTTGTGGAATAAAAGAGAGCAAGCCGGGTGTGGTGGCGCATGCCTTTGATCCCAGCACAAGAAGCAGCCAGATCTCTGGGAGTTCAAGGTCTCCAAAGACCAAAACCAAAAGCTGAGCTCTTTAAAAAAATGTATTTTGCCGGGCGTGGTAGTGCACGCCTTTAATCCCAGCACAAGAAGCAGCTAGATCTCTGGGAGTTCAAGGTCTCCAAAGACCAAAACCAAAAGCTGAGCTCTTTAAAAAATGTATTTTGCCGGGCGTGGTGGCGCACGCCTTTAATCCCAGCACTTGGGAGGCAGAGGCAGGTGGATCTCTGTGAGTTCAAGGCCAGCCTGGTCTACATAGTGAGCTCCAGGACAGCTGGGGCTACAGGGAGACCCTGTCTCTAAAAGACAAAAAAAAAAAAATTATTTTTTGCTGGGTATCACAGCACTCAGGAGGCAGAGGTAGGCAGATCTCTGTGAGTTCGAGGCATGGCAATTCTCTGCATGGCAATTCTCGTGGAGGCCAGCAGAGGGCATCAGATCCCCTGGAACTGGAGTCACAGAGTTGCATCCATGTGGGTGCCGGGAATTGAACCCAGGTCCTCTGCAAGAGTAGCAGTGCTGTTAACCCCTGAGGCACGGCTCCAGCCTCATGATCGTTTTTTCAACAGTACTGGTTTTAGGGTCTTTTGTTATTTGTTTTGCTCTTTGAAACAGGGTTTAACTATATAGTGTGGCTGGCCTGGAACTTGCTATGTAGACCAGGCTAGCCTCAAACTCAAAGAACTCAACTTCTTGCCAGGCATTGTGACACACATCTTTACTTTCAGCACTCAGGAGTAGAGGCAGGTGGATCTCTGAGAGTTTCAGGCTAGCTTGGTCTACATATTGAGTTCCAGGTCAGCCAGGGTTACATAGTGAGATCCTGTCTAAAAGACAAAAACAGGGGCTGGAGAGATGGCTCAGTGGATCTCAGTGGGGTCTCTCCCTCCCCTCGTGGGTCATTGGCCACTGATCCATGAGAACAAAGGGAGCAGAAGTGACGAACGGGATCAGGACGGCCAGTGAGCACTGATGGAAGAAAGCCCTTCCGGGGAGGCAGATTCAGTGATACAGCTTTGTTTATTCAGTGGGGGTTAGGGAGTTATAGTGTGGAGGCAGCAGCCAAAACCTCAGCTGATAGGTGCTCATAGTATGCTTTATTTACATGTGGCAGGGGGATCCTATCATCGGACTATAGGGCAATGCCTAATTATCATACAGAAAAAACCTGGGGGTTTTATTGCAGGTAACTATGCCAAAGGTCATGTTCTAAATAAGGTCAGGAATCAGTGCTTGGTGGCACTTTCCAGGTAAGTTGGGCAAGAAGCCCCTGCTGAAAAAGTAGCCGACCTTAACAGCAGGGTTCCCCAACAGATAAGACCACTGGTTACTCTTGCAGAGGATCCAGGTTTGATTCCCAGCACCCACATGGAGGTTAACAACCACTGTAACTCCAGTTCCAGGGGAATCTGATGCTCTCTTCTGACCCCCATGGGCATTGCATGGCATGGGTGCGCTTACATAAATACAGACAATATACTCATAAAATAAAAGTAATAAATAAAATATAAACAAAACCCAAAACTGTGTAGTTGTGTCAGTCAAGCCCCATTCTCTTTTCCTAAAATAAAAAAAGTAATTTTATAATCTCCCTTTTCCAACTTAGCAGTTTCATAATAAAAATATCTGCATTGTCTTGTTCTTTTCTTTAAATATTTACTAAATGAAATACAGAATTATTTACTTTTAGGTCTAGTTTTCAAACACAGACACACACACACAAATACACTTTCTAAAAAAAAATCTGTAGTTGGCTCTTACTATGAAGGCCTGGTTAGCCTGGAACTCACTATGTAGACCAGGCTGGCTTCGAACTTCTGGTGACCAACCTGCTTTTGCCTTCTGAATGCTGGAATTACAGGTCTGCACCACTGTGCCCAGCTTATATTCACTATTAAAGCTACTCTGGGGGGCTGGAGATGTAGCCCAGTTGGTAGAGTACTTATCTAACATGCATGAGGTCCTAGGCTCTGTCTCCGACACAGAAGAAAAAAGCTACATTAAGTTATAAATACACAAATTAGTTCTCTCTCTCTCTCTCTCTCTCTCTCTCTCTCTTTCTCTCTCTCTCTCTCTCTGTGTGTGTGTGTGTGTGTGTGTGTGTGTGTGTCTGCTGTCTCTCTCAGTCTCTCTAGTTTTCTAGTTTTGTGAGGTTTTCACCAGAACTCTAGTGCAGCCAAGTGCTGGGATGAAAGGTCTGAGTGAGTATTACTTCAAGATTTTAGTATGTGCTCTAGGAGCCAGACCACTTACTATTTACCCAGCTATTTCAGGAATAGGCCAAAAATCTCATCATAATTTATTCGTCAAAAACCCCAAATCAGAAAAGTTTAGGGCGGGCCTATGACTCAGCATTGTCATTCAAGTTTGATGAGGTGTGGAAGGACATACTCACTGGGATGTAGTGTTGGGACGTGCTGTCCAAGTCTGTCATCTTTCAGCATGTGTAGCAATGTTGTTTTCCCTGCATTATCCAATCCAAGAAACACCAATTTACCAGTTTTCTTATATAATCCTGCAGAGCAAGAGCTATGATCAGTCAAAGTGATATCAGATTATCCAAATGACTTTATACTTGATATGACACTAAAATGGTATGTTGCTATTGCTAAGACATTTAAAATATGCCTCTTTTTTCTTCCCTAATGCCCTTGCATAAATCCATATTAAAACCCTAGCCAGGTGTGCTGCCATACACCTTTAATCCCCACACTCAGGAGGCAGAGGCTGATCTCTGTGAGTTCCAGGTCAGCCCCAGCTACATAGAGAGACCCCATCTGTTTTATAAAAAATAAAATAAAATAAAATAAAAATGGACTCCAACTCTGCCTCAAAGTAAATAAACAATAAATAAACGAGTAATAAATAAACTTGAATTCCTAAGTTTATTTTCAGGTTTGTTTGTTTTGTTTTGATTTCTGCTTGGTTGTACTTGGGGGTTAGAGCCAGGTCATGCTGTGCAAGTGCTATATACCCCAGACCTCTTTTCATTTCATTGTGTGATACGATCTTACCAACTGCTCAAGTTGGACTTGATTGTGATCTTCCTGCCTGTTTCCTGACTAGCTCCAGTTACAAGCCTGAACCCCAAATAAGACCCAGTTCTTATTTTCAGTTTTTAAAAAAATTATATATATATGAGTGTTTTGTCTGCATGTAAGTTGCACCCATGTGTGGATTGCCCACAGAGGTCAAAAGAGGGAGTCGGATCCCTGGGAACTGGAGTAACTAACAACTGCAGGTTGTTAGTTACAATATGGGATGTGGGTGCTGGAAACTGAACCCAGGACCTCTGAAAGAACAGCCAGTGCTCTCAAATGCTAAGCCATCTCTTCAGCCCCTTCTTTTCCACTTTTAAAGTGCAATTTAAAAATCTGTTCATTTGCCAGGCAGGCATGGTGGCCTATGCCTTTAATCTCAGTACTCAGGAAGCAGAGGCAGGCTGCTATCAGTGAGTTCAAGACTAGCCTGGTCTACACAGTGAGTTCTAGGTCTGCTGGGGTTACATAGTGAGAGCCTGTCGTTTTTTTAATATTTTATTATTTTTATTTTATGTGTATGAGTGTACTGCCTGCATGTATGTGAGTGCACCTATGGCATGCAATGCAGCGGAGGTCAGAAGAGGATGTCGGATTGCCCTGGAACTGGAGTTAAAGACGGTTCATAGCTGCCATGTGGGTGCTGAGACTCGAACCCAGGTGTTCTGTAAGAGCAGTCAGTGCTCTTAACCACTGAGCTATCTTTCCAGCCCAGAGAACCTGTTTTTTGTTTGTTTGTTTTTTTAAATAAAAAGCACAAAAAAACACACTACATTTGACACAAAAAGAAGTTGGGCATGGTAGTAAAGACGTGAAATCTCAATACTCTGAGGCAGGCCAGCTGGAGCTACATGGGAGACCCTGTCTCAAAAGAAAAAAGAAGTTTTTGGTGATGGGGATTGAACCCAGGGTCTCACAAATGCTAAGTACATAACTATATCACTAACCTACACCTCTAGCTTTATTTTTGAGGTGTTTAGCTATTTGACCTCACTAAGTACAAAGGATAAGGGAACTTTTCTGGACTCACGGCAGAGTCCAGTTCAAAAAATATTTACTTGGGACCAGCAAGATGGCTCGGCAGGTAAAGGTACTTGTCATAAAGCCTGACAGTCTGAGTTCAGTCCCCAGAACCAACATGGTGGAAGAAGAGAACCAACCAGTTCTTGCAAATTGTCCTCTGACATCCACATTTATGCCATGGTATGCATACATGCTCCAACACACATACACACAAATAAGTAGTAATTTAGAATTTGGAGAGGGGCTGGAGAGATTGCTCAGCAGTTAAGAACACTGGTTGTTCTTGCAGAAGACCCGGGTTTGAATCCCAGCACCCACATGGCAGCTAACAACTGTCCATAACTCCAGTCCCAGGGGATCCAACAGCCTCTTCTGCCCTCCACAAGCATTGCATGACATGGGTGCACTTACCTACATGCAGGCACTACACACATACACATAAAATAAAAATAATAAAATTAAAAAAAAAAAGAATTTGGAGGCTGGAGAGATGGCACAGTGGTTAAGAGCACTGGCCGCTCTTGCAGAGGACCCACGTTTGGTTCCCAGCATGCACATGGTGGCTAACAACTGTCCGTCTCCAGTTACAGGGGATCCAAGGCCCTCTTCTGACTTCATGGGCATTGCATGACATGGTGCACTTACATACATGCAGGTAATATACTCATACACATAAAATAACAAAAATTTTTTTTTGAAACAGGGTCTCCCTGTAGCCCCAGCTGGCCCTGAACTCACAGGGATCTGCCTGCCTCTGCTGGGCTGGGATTAAAGGCATGCACCACCACGCCCAGCCAAATTAAAATATTTTTTTAAAAATTTAAAAACTTGGGCTTCCTGGGCGTGGTGGTGCACACCTTTAATCCCAGCACTCAGGAGGCAGAGGCA